TTTATATGTGTGTGTATATATATATATTTCATAACCTTGGTTACTTTCTGGTGGAGTATGGTATAAATTAGGAAACATGAGAGGAATTTTCTTTTGTCATTTCCTACTAACATCATTTCCCTTTTGCACCTACCCTCTCATAAATAACTTATCCAATTTATGATCAAAGGGTCAGGTTTGTTCCTGGTGTTTCACCATTGCAAAAGTATGCTTTGCAAAGCAAGATTAAGCTCTGGATAGGCCACCTTCTGGCAGGTGGAATTGAAGGTGTCCAGAATAATTTAAGGGTTGTATGACTTGTTTAAAACCTAAAATATCTCCTGTATATGATGTTATCTATGCAAATATTTAGATACTTAAGGTACTGCCATCCAGGCTTTGGCATGAAGAAGTTGGATTTAAACGTAAGTTTTGTTAACTTTGTGTTTTTCTAAAATGAAAAAAAGAAACAAAACCAGAAAGATCTCAACCAAACTGAAGGTTTTGTTAAAATGAATCTACTTTTTTTTCTGAGAATCAGTAAATTACACAGGTATATCATTAGATCTGTAACACCCACAGCATCTTTATGGTATGAAAGCCCTATTAGCTGGTAGCAATGTTAAGAAAACTTGAGTATTTCCTTTCTATTAAATGATTCCTCAAAAGCTACCTATTTTGGGGCTGTTTTATGCACATGCAGTGTTAAATGAGGCAACTACATAACACTACGGTATCATTCTCTGTCTCTCTCTTGCCAATGTCTCGTTCTACAAGTTTAGGCTTTGCTCTGGTTGATACCATTTGCATCATCCACTCTGTAAGCATGGTGTAAAGAAATAATACCATTTCTACATCTTCTGTTTCTTCATCCTTCTATAAATAGCTCATCCAACCTTGCTTTTGTAAAAGCATGTATGCGTTTCAGTGATACTATTTTTTCGTCTCTGAAAATGTTCTAGCAGGGTGAGTTTGTGACCTTAAGTTTCAGCTGTGACAAGGAAGTTCAGGTGTTTTGTTCTGTTCCCCACCCTCCTAAGGGTGCCTCTGACAAACCTTCATTTTCATAGCATAATGGCTCTTATTCACCTGGGTGAGTCACATCAGGGATGCACAGGATTCCCAGCTGTTCCTTTTTCTTTCAGTGACTTGTTGCTTATATCAGTTTACTCCTCCAGCTTTTGTTTTAACTTGAGGCAAGCAGGGATTTTCCTGTCTTCTTTGGGTCTCAGAATTCCAAACATAAAATTCTATTACAGGATCCTGTTGCCAGTGTTGGCAGTTTAACCAGTCCGTGTCACTAGTGCATAAGAACCTGAAAGACTGTATTGGGCAGACTAACCAGTGGCACAAACCACCTTGTCCAGGCTGAAAGTGTCAAAGCTAAATAATGACTGTGGACCATGGGAAGTGCATTTTCAAGCTTTATCTGTCTAGTAGACTGACAATGACTTTGAACCCAAGAGTATGGGTAAGCCGATGACAGAAGCCTGTCAGAACACAGTGTGCTTCATGTTCCCTGTCACCAGAGTGCAGTGACAAGTTAATGGAGGGAACTGGGTCATCAGATTTTGAAAAGGAGGGGATTTATTTGGGAAGAGAAGTGTGGGAATCTGTGGAGGTGGCTACCATTGTGAAAGTCCACTTCTGATAAGATCTTTGATCTTAATGCCTATACAGTCTTGGGTCACAGTAACTCCTACTGTACCGTAGTGCATTCACCTGTTCAGCAGTGAAGAAAAACTTTCAAATTATTTCATTTTGTCTCCTAAAGACACAGGTACCTTTCTCTTTTTTCTTTGTCTCAAATCTTTCACAGGAGATTGGCGTACATTATTTAGTTGTATCCTCATTTGGTGGATCAAACCAAGTTGTAGTTGGCATAAAAATCAGAACAGGTGGAGGATGGGAGAAATTTCTGATGTCCGTGCATGGGGCAAGTGTAGAAGCTATCTGTGTGTACAATGTATTAATAAAAATGTATCTAGTGTATCACTTCATTCATCAGAACATGATGGTGGTCTTGAATCTAGCACAAAACAAGACATTTTAAGGGCCATGATAACCTCACTTGACACCTCTAAGGCTGTATTTAAGGAAGAGCAGTGTAATTACTGCCTTTCTTATGTAGCTTGAGATGTTGATGGTGAGTTGTTTCAGCTTGTGCCAGTTCCTTTGGATCAAATTTGCATCTGGTCTGGTCGTGCTGTTTATGCTTGTTGCAGGGGTTGCTGTGACTGGCTGGGAATGCTAGTGGAACAAGCCACATCCCAGCACAGCGTATCTGCCCCCTTGTTTCCTCCAGTGGAGAGAAGTGATATAATTGATGCCATTTACAGTGTCCAAGGACTGACCTATACTGGAGATTAAATAAATGATTAAATAAATGCATAATTTATTAAATAAATACCCTATTTACTTTAAACCTGGCAAAATGCAAGCTGATATGCTTTATCACCTCTGCTCAGTGTATACAGCTGTCATGGACTTCCCAGTGTCAGTACTGGTGTGTATTGTTTTACTTCTGCAGCATCTCATCTCCCACCTACACTATTGCCATGACAATTAAGGTAATTCAAAGCCAGAGCTTATTTTGCAAACCTGTGTCATTCAGGTTTTTGTTTTGCAAACTGATTCCAGTTTTTATTCCAGGATTTGTAGGCAATAGCAATGTACAGTATCATCTCTATTCAGTCTTGGGATTAGTAAATAATATGTAGGGATCGGTCACTTTCAGAATGTTTCATAATCACAAAATCAATAAAAATAGGTCCAAAATGTGCTGTTCCTTTGTGGGTCATCTAATAGATGCTTTAACAGAACAATCTGTATTGAGTCAGGCTTTTCTTGTTTGTAAAAACAGAAAACATATGATGCAACCCCAAAAAGCAATTTAACTCCACCCCAGTAGCGTCAGATTTATCCCTGGAAAAGTCAGGGACAATTTTGTCATGCCTTAAAATGCCTCCCTTGCAAAGCACACACTGCTTGTCTCTCGTGCTTTCACAATCCTCCTTCTAATTCCAGCTGTGACTACTGTGTGGTTTGCTTCAAGCTTCCGTTTCAGACTTCATCAACTTTTTGTGTGCTGATATCCCTCAAGTGACAAAATAACATCTGCAGGGAATACTGAGGCAGATGGTCATGCTGGAACTCTTAGTTGTCCATGAGTGCTGTAATCAGGTTGAAGACTAGATGGGGCAAATTTGCAGAAAATATAGAATTAGCCATAGAAGTACACTCTGAGACCTGGGCTGGGCTTACAAATTAAGACATAGATTCTCACTCACATTTCCAGTGGGCAGCTCAGCTCTGAAACACTGTGTAGTTTTGTATTTCATGAAGCTTGGCTACTAAATGGTGGCTGTGTGCAGAGCCAGCGTGTATCCAAGTGTATCTTGGAATCTACAAATTCAAAAATTAGCCATCCTCAAAGAGCTTCATACAGGGTCAGCTTGCATCTACTGGAGGCTCTGCAGAGCCAGATTTTCTGTGTCACATTGCCTAACTTCTCAGAGCACAGAGACAGCCCAGCCCCATGTACAGTCTGTGTGGTACAAGGAGTGCAGAGACACTCTCAAAGCTCTGCCAGAGTTAGCTCAGGGCTCTGTGCAAAGTATGTTCTTTACTGGCCATGTAAAGGTTTTTCCAGAAGCCATATGACCCTTGCTCCTCATCTCCTGGCTGTTGGAGTGTTACCTGGCTGCGTGATAGATACTTTGCACATTCTTTTCCAAGTCAATGTCATTCCTACGTTAGATATTTAATGAAAAAAAATAATGAAAACACTACTTCACTCTACCCTCTTAGTGTTGTTGCTGAAACTGTTCTATTTGACTTTGTTAATGAGCTCTCCTCCATGATGAAGGTAAGATCATCTTCCTGACTCATCATTCTTGTTGAGACGCTCCAGCCAAGCTTCTGTGTTCCTCCATTCATCTCCCTTTGTCTATCACAGTGAACACAGCTTTCTTGTCCCATCAATTGTAATTCACTTTGCCTATATTATTGTGACAGCAGTTTGTGCAGTGCAAGTGAGGTAAGGTATTCACTTGCCTAATTTTTTTCTTCTGTTCCCTGATTACAGCCTTACTCACAGGGGAAATGCTCAGTCAGAATCCACACACAGATCATCCTGTAAGAGTTCCTTCTGCCTTGGTACCTGCAATGCACAGCCAGGCAACCAAAGACTAGAGAGCTGGCAAGTTGAGATGATTCCTTACTGTTCAAAGCTATTTGTTATCTCAGTCTCTTAACACCACTCTTTTGTTTGTTGCGTTTTGTATTTTGTCCTCCTTCGCTGTGAGTTGGGCAGGAAGGATACTGCCTTTGCTGGGTAGTTGGAGCACCTTATTTGTTTGGAGACTTCAGGCACTAATTAACATGCAATAAAGAAGGCTCTCTAGTGTTGCCTTATCATTTATGTTCATTGCTGAGAGGAAGGAAAGGGGAGAGTTATCATCAGTTATGGAGAGTGGAATAGCTTTTACCTTCCAAAGCAGAAAAAATATGGAGAACACTTTTGTTTGTCTATCCATGTAAAATCCTAATTAAGGATTTTGTATACATATGTAGGCACTCAACAAAAAATGGAAGAATCTTGTCCCTGGTTTTTGTTTTCACATCCAGAGAGAATTTAAGAATGCCTAAAATGTTTTCCCCACATTTCCTACAAAAAAGGAGGTATTTTTGTCCTCTTTGCAAGGGAGAGAAAAAGCAAAAAATTAATCTTCAGAATAAACTATGTCAAAAGTTGTTACAAAAAAGGGAAGCTTTTTGCCACAGCAGCTGCTTTGCTGCCTTAACAGCTGCAGTATTTATTAGTATTAGTCACAGCTGGTTTACACCCTTGCTTTTTCTTGCAGTACCCCACATGCACAGGATACAAATGAAAAACCTTCATTAGAACTTAATGTCATATAGCTTCATAACACACTTCTAGCCTGTTCTTTTGTACGTTTTGTGCCTAAAAACTTTCACAGTTTAATGAGATTTAATATTTCCTGTGCTTATTTCTGCAGGCACCCTAGACAAGCATGTAGAACTAGAAAAACTTGTGGCCACATTCCTTGGTGTTGAAGATTCCATGGTGTTTGGCATGGGCTTTGCAACTAACTCGATGAATATTCCAGCCCTTGTTGGAAAGGTGAGGACTTCCTAAAGGAACACGTAGAACAATCGTTTACTGATTGTTTTAACTACTGTTACAGAATTCTGGGCGCTCACTGAGTGGAAAGGCTTGATCAAGGAACAAAGCTTGGAATCAGGAATGTGTGAGTCACAAGGCTGATGACCTTGTGACCTTAAATATGCTCCTTCACCACTTTTGCTAGTGCTGAGTGTTGCTATCACACATATCTAATACTTATTTAAGGATCAGGGATATGGCTGTTTAGCTCCTCTTAATGAAGTTGATTCTCCCAAAAAAGTAAGCGAACGTTGTATCCCTTGACCAGGTGTTTGGGAGAAAGTATTTGGGCTGCTTGCAGAGATATTGCCCAGCTGCCTGTGGTGGAAGATGACTATTGGGATAGTTTATACAACACTTTCAGGAAACAAAAAGCTTTACCATTCCTGATGAACAGAGCTCCAACCAGCTCTGCCAAGAAAGCTGGCAGCAAACGCAAGTCTAAAGTCATGACCATATTACAGAAGTTGGGTTCTTATTTGGTGCTGAAGGGACTTCATCTCTGATCTGGGGTAACTAACACAAAGGCATGAATATCCATCATCCTGTCAGTCCTGGACATCACAAGCAGAGACACTGTGCTGGGAAAGCTGGGAGCTCCTCCTTAGTTCATCGAAGTGTGGAACAGAATGAATTCACTCTGTGGTGTATGATCAAAACTTCTGAAACAGCAGCATAGAGGTGAAGACACTTCTTCACTCACTGTTGAAGATGAATGCAGCTTTTGCTAGAGATTTCTGAAATATGTGTATGCAAGTGTTGGGCAGGGAGAACTGCTTCAGCTACTCAGAACATGAACTTCAGTCTGCAGTGGTGCTGGAGAAGTTGTCCAGTACTTTCAAAGGGAACAGATACTGAGAATTAACAAAAGTAAATTTATGAAATTGCAGACATACATAATAGCTTAAGATACTTGTCCCTTGCTTTTAATAATTTTCCCTCACTTACCTGGCCTTATGTGGAGACTCAAACCTCTGTCAGACATGGGATATTTAGATAAAAGTGGCACAAATAAAGATATTACTGGATATATGATATATATATTTAACAATTCAGTGTGTATTATTATACAATATTATTATATATTACAGATATTGTGTAACTGCCCTATGTTTGGGAGATTTTTTTCCTGTGTTTTCCTCTATAATTAAGCCTAGCAGCTACATTTTCTTGTCAAGATGCATATACACTTACTATTAGTGCTTCATACCAGTCTCTAGGCAGACTGTGTGAGTATCTCTCAACCTAATCCATGATTCCAAAATAAGTATTTACTTAATGTTGTGTTGCCCTTTGGGTAATGAAACCACAGCACAAGATGTTTAATAGAAAGCAGAGCTAAATTAGGGTTCAGGCCTGAATTTCAACTGTGAGTCCTGGCTCCTGTTAATGTAATATACAAATTTACTTCTCCTGCATTTGTATTTTAGTTTCTAAAAACAAAATGAGTTTTCAACTGAGTTAATTAATAAAAAGTATACTCCAGGTCAACTGTAAATGCATTTACCAGAGAAAGGCTCCTCCTAGTGCCTAAACTTCACTCACATCTTAATGGAGGTGGGACTTACAATCTCTCCTGATCTCATTTCTGCAGTGGAAAGTGCTGATGTCAGTCCAGCCTTTTTTTTTTTTTTTTTATTACTCCTCCTTACACTACTACTGTCAAACACTTTATATATGGGGAGGTGGCTGCATTTTCCTCACAACTCAAAATAGACTGTAGAGAGGTGATAGAGGAAGCAACATCTCTGGATTTTACTATAAAACAGTCAACCTTCAGTAGGGTTATTTGCTACTTTTCAGTTACAGGAGAAATTTGATCCTGCGAACCACCTGAGAATGTGCCTGAGAATCTGACCCCACAGTTTCTGCCTGCCTTTGCGGTGCACCCTGGCACCTTCAGAAAAGTGGCAGAAAATCCAGTTCATGTTTAATACTTACAGCTTAACTGGTGCAGTTCTTTATCACAGACGTGTGTTTGTGCTGACACACACATGCACACGTGTCAGCAGCCTCCCAGTTCGTGCAGGTACTTATTGTGCTCCTTCTCCACAGGGCTGCCTCATTTTAAGTGATGAGTTGAACCACACTTCTCTCGTTCTTGGTGCGAGGCTTTCAGGTGCCACTATTAGAATCTTCAAGCATAATAGTGAGTATTGAAGTTGGAAAACTGTAGAGACAGAATTGTTCACACCTCAAAGGCAAGAATGCTTTCTTTCAATGCTTACTTTGCTGTCAGTTCTCAGGCAGAAAGATTAACTGTTTAATGTTATGAGTGATTTCTGATGGGAAAAATTAAGAGTGCAATACTATAATTACTATTGTGTATGATTTGTGTCATCAGGTTGGACCTTAATTTCATAATTCAGTGTCGTCTTAATCTCGTTGCTGTCTTTTTGACATTCTGAATGACTCTGTGGTGTCATAAAGGGTTTATCGTTATTGTCATTATAGTTCAGGTAGTAAAAACACACAAAAACATACCTCTGTTTCCAGCAGGTTCAGTGCAACCAGAGTTCCATTCACATGGCATTACTTTGAAGCAGTTATTCTGAATTTCCAGGGATCTAATACCAAAGATGTAGATGGTTGTATCAAAAGCATCATCTCAAATATTCTTTGAACTAGAATTTTAGTATAGAAATCATGCATTAACTTTGCAATCATATAGTTATCTTCTAAAATGCTCATGCTTTTTAAGTTTTATTTAGTTAATGCTGCTGTGGTTACTGTCAGAGACATTGGGACTGCTTTGATGACGAGTTGTTCTTTTCCACTGTTCCCCATTGCAATTCCCCTTTCCATCCTCACTGCTACCACCAGGCAGTGATTGCAACAGAGGTTTAGAAGCTAGAAGACAGATCTGATTACCTTTGTAAATAGCTAATACAGTCCCTTCTCTTCATTAAGTGTTGTGTTCAGCCCCAAGGGGAGCAAAAATGCGTATGTTGTAGAAGGCCTAAGGATGAGCTGGAATGAAAAATACACTATAATTATAATGTAAGATGTTGTTATAATTAATATCTATTCATAATTTGGGCAAGAAGCAATTTCTGAAGATCGTTCAAGAATTAAAGGTCACCTGAACACAAATATTTTTACAAAAGTAATTATTCTTAGATTAACCTGTAGCAAAACCCAGCTTGGTTCACTTCCACAAATCTGGGCACACTAAGCATGGTTTTTGTACCAGTTTTTTGAGGCTTTTTTCTTTTGTTATTCAAAGCCTTATTCCATTCAAAATAGGTTTACATCACATCTTGCAGGATGACCTCTCACTACCCAAATCCAAATGTTCTCGATCTCTCCACCCATCCATGTTGCATGCGGCCCAGCTGGCTTGGGTCACTTCCACAGCATTTCAAAGAACATTCCAGTTTGAGGAGTGTATTACTGTCAACTATGAAGACATCACCTGGAGCTGTTATCCTCACTCTAAGGAATTTGGTCTCTAACCATCCCTCACTATTTCATTCCCCTCCCCAGAACCTGATACCTAAGCAACCTGTGCTTGTGCTTATGATAAATTAAAGCTGATGCTCTTTTGAATAATGTGTGAACCTAAAAATAATAGTGAGCTATCCAAAAAGCATTAATCCAGCACTGGAAAATGTAGACAGTTCCTTTAAGGGTCTCAGCAAACCTTAGTGGAAGCCCATCCAGATTGCTTTGGAAAAACTCATTGGTTTCTAATTAGAGATCTTACTTGCCAAGGACAGTCTTGTATGCCATTGCTGAGACATCACCTTAACTTGTTTTCAAAATGAAACTGTGGAAACTTTTGCAAATATTGTTTGGAATTTGAGTGACAGATTTTGTCATCACAATTTTGTGGGCTTTGAACCTGAACCTAAGCTGCATTTAAAGAGCACTTCATGTGGAGAAGCTTACACACTTTCTCTCAGCCCACTGTGTCTGTTTGTTAGTTCTGTAGTTAGAAAGTTCTTTCTTTTAATATTTCCTTAATCATATCCAGAAGTTACAGATCACCAACAACTTCTAAAATCACATGTGCAGAGATGTATGTCTGTGCCTTTTGCTTTGGAGGAAATAGGGTGTGTATTGGGGGAGATAGCAGTGGAAGGTGTAATCCAACAGGACTGCCTTTGTAGGATGCACAAAATGAAGCAGACAACCTTGTTCTCTGTGGATCTGTCAGGGAACAGTTTAATACCAGTCAGTACAGCAAATTAAGGACATAAGTAACCAAACTTCCAGCTTGGGTTGGGAGGGTTCTTTTCAGTTAGACAGATGCTTGTTTTGTTAGATCGGAGCTGTGTTGCTTATGCTCCCAGATTATTCTTCTTGATAATGTGTGGATACACAGCATTTATCCAGGCATACCCAAATTGTCAGAGTATGTTACTGCTGTCGTTGTCATGCTTATGAACAGCGGAATTGAGCCATTCTCCATGTGACGCTGTTTGGTGTGAAGGCAAAGTTCCTTCTGCTGTATTGGCCCTGTGCATGAATAGGAGACTTTGCACCTTAAGTTACCACTTGTAGATCTCTAAGAAGCATTAACTTCAGCATCATCCTTTTTGTTACTTTTGAAAACCCTCCCCTGTTCTAGTTAAAAAAGGCAATACCCTCCACCTCTTCTTTCTAAGGGCAAGGGATTGATGTATGTCATTTAATATACAGAAATTAATGACCCTTTAAAGAATCTGGCCCCGGGCATCAACTGGAGGGAGTTACTGTGTCAAAGGCATGGAGGGAGCCCTTTGATGAGCAGCTGGAACAATTCTCCAGCAAGGTACAGAAACACACTCACTCTCACTCTGTTTTATCCTACACTGAAGACAAAGCAAGAGATGCCAGTCAGTACCACCACTAGTGCCTGAGACATGCTTTCTGTGCAGGAGCATCGAAATAAACTCAGATCAGGGAGCAGATTTGGAAGTTCCCTTCTTGCTTTGAGAATGCAGCTTGGGAAATCAGCCTTTATTCCCTCCTTATTGCTTTCATCAGGCTCTTGAAATGCTGTGTAATGCCCTTGATAAAACTGCCTGGAACATATTTACTTTGGCTCCGACTTCCTTGGTTGCGTGGGTGTAGAAGAGACACTGGGAGAAGGGTGAGGTGTGAATGTTTGTTGCAGTTATTGTAAATGGGGGGGGAATAATTATGTAACAATTTAGTGAAGCAATGATATATTTTCTGAACTAGCTGCTTCCTGAATATAATACAAAAAAATGCAGAGATTGTGTGCTAGTAACCTCCCTTTCTAACAAGCTTGCAGATCTCTCTCCTTTCCCCCCTGTTATGGAAAAACTATTTTTCAAAGAAAAATTACAGGAAACTTTGTTCTATGATAAAAATATTTCACAGAAAAGAGAGTAAAATGTACGATTTTAAACTTACTATTGAAGCACCTTCTTCATCTTTCAAAGGCTATACTGTGTCTAATTCTGTAAAACGGTGGGATTTTATTTCAAAGCATATAATTTTTAATACTAGATTGATTTTTCATCATTCAAAAGTAAATAATTACACTTTTATTATTAATAAGTAATTATTTCATGAGTAAGACAAGAAATAATCTCTACCTACTACCTTAATTAAATATAATGTAATTATTATTCTTACAAAAGCTAATGAAATTCTATTTCAGTAAGCGGGTAGCTATCTTAGACATGACACTTTTCATAAAATATCTGAATAGTTTGTCTAGAACAGGCAAAATATTTAAACCTCTATGCCTGTCTTAGTAAAATAAAAGGCATCCATTTTGACAAAAACATTGCACAGGTGTATGAGAAGGTTTTCAAGCCTGAAAATGAATAATAGAACAAAAATGTGCTGTGGACCTATAAGTCTGTTTGTATTTGGACGTAGGAATGTGCCCTGCATCTTGCCTGCCAGTGAACAATCCCTTCCTTGTAAACAGACAGGAATTTACAGGTCTGGGCTGAGAGAAATGCACAGGCACACACCTACAGATCATCTATGTGAGAGAGATTTAAGAGAATATTTCATTTCAGCCCCATAACTAAAAAACTACTGAGCAGGACGTTCCCTTCCCGTGGGCTCTCATTAGCTCTGTCTCTAGTTTTCACCCTGCCAAGGTTATTACCAGTATGGCACAGGGGTTTAGGCCTTTTAGGGACTTTTTCTCTTGCAGGGATTTGTGAGTTTTTGCAGAAGCAAGCAGTAAAGCTCAGCTCCCTGGAGCCCCTGCGCTGATGAACTGATCTAGGGGATTTAAATTTTTTTAAAAAATTTTATTTTAGGACCTCAGTAGTCCTAAATGTATGTAGTGGTGGTTTATGGTCTAAAGTTTTTCGGACCTGCCCATAGAGCATCTGCCTTTTGTCTTTCTGCTGTGGTGTCATCACCATTCAAGTTACCATTTTCCAGGCAGTGATTTTTTTAAGAAGCTAGGACAGAGTAGCATTCCTGCACTGGGAACACAGGCAGCAGCATGGTCCAGCAACTAGTATGCAGTGGGAGAAGGTGAGAGGCTAAAACATCTCCCCACCTCTGTAGCGGTGGGGGCCTGGCTTTGCTCAGTTTATATGCCAGAAGGTGTGTCTGATGTTATCCTCACCAGCCCTGGGCTCCAGGGAGTCTCTCCTACCTTGTCTCCAAGTGACAGGCAAGAGGGTCCTTCAAGCTATATGGGGGCTAAACTCAGATGTTTTTATTTCCTGACTCAGGGAGAGGTTGTTATATTTAAAAACCCTTTTCCAGGACCTCTGACCTTTATCTTGGTTAAATATTAGCCAAAATCCCTTGACCCTTCCAATAAAACCTGAAAAGCAAACCCAAATATTTAACCATTAATCAGCTTGTGATTTTGTCAAGGGGTCTCTGTTGCAGCAATTCTGGGTCTTATACTGGTACCAGGTGTTCCTTCAGTGGACAGATGAGGGTGTTATGGACTAACTACATCCAAATGAGTTCTGTTCTTATCAGCTTCTGTAAGAGGGCACAGGAAGAGGGCACAGAGGGTACAAGGCTTAGGAATTGTTTGTTCTTTCTAATTCCACTACATTTTCCCCATGTAGCATCGACTGCAGTCCCGTTTGCAGGTTTAGATTTGCTATTCCATGAAGAGTCTGTGGGAATGTTACTGGGCACAGAAATCAGGCCATGTGGGTAAAAGTATTCCCAGTTCTCTTCATTGCAAGGGCACTTCACCAAGCAATCAGAACAAGTGATCCTGTGAGAAGGGCAGGCAATTACAAGGCACAACCAAACACCTTGATTAGGTGAAAATCCAGCATCTAATCTGCTGCTTTAATCCATATCTGAAACAGGAATTAGGGTAGTAGATTCTTAATTCCTCCTTATGCACCTTTTCAGTGTTGTGGAAGTACTAAGGGGTTTTATGGGTTCTCACAGAGCAGGTGACAGAAGTGTGTCGTGCAGGTAGTCGATGACAGAAGTGTGTCATGCAAGTGTGAGCTGTTCAGGTTTCCATACAAAATATGGTTTCCTGCTTTGGGCAACATTTGTGAATTTATGTTAGTCCAACTCTGGCATTTCTCAGTCTCCTCAGTCCAATTATTGCTTTGGAGTTCAGATACGAATGCCATGAGGACACAGTTACCTGAAGGAGCTGTAGTTACTACTGAAGGAAATTTAAGAGGGCAGAAGGCCCTAACTTTTCAGTGCAAATGTATTGTCTAGCTAAAAAGAAGGAAAGAAGATGGGGGGAAAAATAGTGGAAAACTCTCAAGTGCATGCTTTTAAGCAAGCAAGCAAATAAAATAGGGGAAAATGAAAGAGACGAATAAACATGTAAAAATTAGCAAAATATCTCTTTGGTTGCAAAACCCGAAGAGTTTGCAGTGGCTTAATCCAGGACAGTTCCTTAATTTTTATTTTTTTTCCAAAGGTGTAAGTGGCCCTTGAATTTCTGAAGTGAGGACAGCTTATAGCTATTATAGAGCAGGATGAAAGGCACATTACCTACTAAAGTTTTGTCCTCCCTGGAGCCTCTGGCCACTGTCAGAGACAAGATTATTGCAGCAGATAGGTGGACTGCAGCCTAATCCAGTTTGGCGTGTCTTTCCCTGTGACACATACAGACGCTGCCTCAGCGAGGAGACCGGAATATCCTGCTCCGACCACGCTGTGTCTGCGTTTGCCTTCTCTGATTTGAGAAAGCCATGTCTGACTTGAGTGTGAACAGGGAGCTTTCCTGAGTGAGTGCCCCTTGCTTTCACAGAGATCTGTGTTTGTTGAGGGGCAGGCAGGGGAATCTCGGACTGTTATGTGACCGCAGTGATCACCACTCCCACCAGCCCATTCCAAACGCAGAGATTCCTGCGTCGCCACAGAGTCTGCAGGAACTTGAATGAGAGTGCAGAACGGGAGAAACTGAAAATCAGATTTACAAACACAAAGTGAAAGAAAGAATGTGACAAGAGTAGTAGTAGCCTGTTTATTTTAATTAAGCAGGATTCAGCTGACATCATGCGGGAGATTTCCAGCCCACGCAGAGGAACAGTGATGACATCCCCAGCGTTGCAGTGCAAGGATGAGAGGTGGAGACACCGTGTCTCCCTGAGCATGCCTGGGAGGGGCCCTTCCAGGAGCCCAGTGTCCCACCTGCACTGGAGGCAGCATGACACACTGCCCAGGTCCAGACTCGCTTCAGCCCACTGGCACTTTGTGTTCTTGGTACTTCTGTTGAAGTAACTCTGAAAAATCCCATACAAGGATTATGCAAGTCCACTGATGCACTGACAGATCCACTGTCCCCTCTTAGGAAACTTTATCCTCCATATCAAGACAATATGCCATAGGTAAAAGGTGGAAAGTGAGACACTGATAGATTTGTGCTTTGAGTAACTGATCAAGAGGAATTCTTACCACCCACTCCTATGCTGGTGAGCAGTTGTTTGCCATTGCCACTGGAAACCCTGGTCTGGTGATGGTCAAACCAGGAAGGACAGTTATTTTCCCTGTAACTGGTTATTCAAGATGGACTCGTGCAGTCATCTGATCATCTCAATGTCCCAGTGTTTCTCAGTCTAACTGTATTTAATGGGCAAATAATTTGATGTCTGAAAGTCACCTGGGGTTGCACTCTTGTTTTTCCGGCCATTCAGTATATCCCACTTTCTGGAAAGCACATAGAGCACTGTGTCTTCACTTTGAAGAGCAGAAGCAGCCTGTTGTGGGGAATATTAAAGGTTCCAGATTTTCTCCTCCTCCCTATTTCTACTTTCCAAATGAGGCACTACAAGCACAGAGTTAAAAGGTCAGTAAAACTCATTTGCACCTGAACAAATCATGTTCACTGTTCTGGCCTCAGAAAGGGTCACCCATACATATTTTTCAGAATGAAACATCAAAAAGAAACTGAGATAGCCCTGATCCTGCAAACAGACATGCTCTTAGCCTGTATTCCAGCTGGACTGTGTTACATATAAAGTCAGTCAAGCTCATCCCTCAGAGAGGTTCCCCCCTGTCTGTGCCCTCGTGTACCATGGTAGTTTGGACAGAGGATCTATTCACATCCATGTATTTTTTAAACAGAGTTATTGACATTTCACTTCTCTCTATCTCCTTGTTGTTTTTTTTTTTTCCCATGTGAATATGTGTTAAAACAACTGCATCTTCAAGCCATGCTTTTAGCTCAGAGGCAAAATGACTTTGCTGAAGTCTAGGACCAATCTGGATGGACATATAGACAAAACACTGAATGGAAAGACCCTGTGTGTTTCAGAAGAGGGTTTCAAAGGTCCCAAAAGGATTTAGATGACAGTGACATCAGTAGAGAATAATTCAATGTAGAAAAAGGGGCATCCAAATTTTACTGTGAGTGAGCATTCCGTTATTCCAGGGGAGCCCTTTAATGCTCAGAACTTGAAAGGATTTCTAAATGTTATCTACTCCAAACAAAAGAAAACATGAGCAGCTGCAAATGCTGAGCTGGGTTATAACTTTCCCTTGTAAAGCATCAAGGAACTTTTATTTCCTTGATTGCCATCTAGTGGAAACTGTGCTGTCTGCATTGCATCGTTCCTAACACCATTTCCATCTCGGAGTTCACTGAGCTGTGCAGGTGATTGCACCACTGAGATAAGGGGCAGGTGATTGCACCACTGAGATAAGGGGCAGCTGATGTTCTCTGCTTTGTAAAGTACAGCAAGGACTTGCTAGATCAGGAGATTACACTGGAAGGTGCAGAGTGGCAGAAGTGTTGCTGAGACCTTTATCTTTCACTGACATCAGTACGTTACCAGCAAGAGGTGAGGCATCAGGATGGAAGGGTTAAAGTCATAACCTTGTCATCTCTCAGGTCATGGGTTATTCATGGTGCACACAGTTGGTGTACAAATGGCCCCATCCAGTCGGACCAAAACCAAAGTGTAGATCAATATTAATATTTCTAAGTTATATTTCCTTTGCCTGGGACAATTGCATTCTACAGATTAACTTAGTACTATTTTAGAAGGTTATAACAACTGTGTTGAGATGTGTTACTGAACAAATGGGGTTATATCACAAAAAAATGCTACTGATTTTTTCAACCCACAGTTTGAGCTGAACTGTAGTGTTCCTTACAAGACTCAGTAAAGTGTTCTTTGAAAACATTTTAAAATGTCAATCCAGATTCCTGAAAAGTACCAGAATAATTCATTTTGGAGAGTATTCATTCATGGAGACACCAGAATGCTGGTTAGATTACAGCTCTGCAGAGGGTCACATTTGGCCTGACCCTTATTCCTGTGATGTTTTTTCTTGCTTCTTCCCTGTTTTTCAAAACTTCAATGGCTTTCCTTCAAGAATTGTATGAGATTACCCATACTCAGTCCTTAAGAAATCAGCTAAGTGTCTAACATTGTTCCAGGCCTCCTTGTATTAAAGTCCCACCAGTGCCAAGCATTTTGGCACTGAATCAGTGTATCCATGCCATGTGCTTGTATCCACTTGCCTCCCCCTCTCTCACCAGCAATCTTTTACTCAGTTTCCTTCTTGAGAAGGACACCTGATGAACTTCATGCAGCCTTGCCCAAACCTTTGCTGAAGCAATGCATGTTACTCATGGTCCTGTCATTGGAAAGCAACCAAAACCTCACTATTCAGAAGCCCTGAGACACTAAGAGCATCAGCAACCCCTACAGAGAACTGCTGGCAATTAGCCTCAGTACTTAAGCAAAGTGATTCCCTTTTGCCTTTAAAAATAAATATGAGTTTCCCAGATAAGCTGCATAACTGGAAGCTTTTTGTAACTCTCCTAGTCACTAGACTGTATTTAATTAAATAAATTGTTGGGTCTTGCCTATTAATAAAGGAAGTTTATCTTTAGGACAAATTCTTCTTTTTTAATGTTGTCTTTTTCCGTACAGGAAAAATAGCACCCAGTAGAAAATCGAAAAGTCCTTTAGAAAAATCTTTGTTAATGTTTTTCCTTCCTCCTTTTTCTTATTTTTAAATAAAGATATGCAGAGCCTCGAGAAGTTGCTGAGGGATGCAATAATATATGGGCAGCCTCGCACCCACAGAGCATGGAGAAAAATTATCATCCTCGTGGAGGGGATTTACAGGTATGTGTGTGTTTTAGAAAGATGAGTACCCTGTCATTTCTGAGGACAGAATGATATATTGAGTGAAGGGAATATTGACTTTAAGTATCTGAGGGAAATCTTAATGAGGTTGGAAGTTACAATAATGTTCTGTGATCTCATAAATACGTTAATTTCCATTATATCAACCTGAACCCTGGATCCTATAGCTCCAGTGGGGTGTTCTGAATCTTGATTTAGCAAATCACAGTGGAGTGGGAGATGTATTGAGAGCAAGACGGATCAGCTGGTGTTTGTTGTCACAGATGTGATAAAATTCATGGAGCTATAGTAGGTGAGTTCTGCTAAGTGAGTAAGCTGAGTTTTCTAGAGTTGTTATGCATGGACAGATCAAAAGACAACTACACTGAATTAGTTAAGCTCTGTGTACCCAGTTCTTACCCAGCTGCTAGAATCTAAAATCCCAAGCTAAACTTAGGCTAAGTGTATCAGCACCTTTCTGGTAATTAGTGCTGGATCTAACAGACTCACACTTTAACAGAAAAACAATTAAAAGACTGGCTTTTAAAGAGTTATTTGGTGGTATTCCATGTAGCCCTAGTCCCTGGAGGAATTCAAATGAGAGAGGCGCCTTTGAGAATCCATCAGATAATACTGGCATCAATAATACCGTGCAATTATAGGGCATCCTAGTCAGGTAGCTCTGGTTTACTCTTGTGGTGCAGTTTACACCCAGTCAGAGACAAACAGTCACTATAGTTGAGCAGCAAAGCAGTGGCACCAGCAAGACTCACCATCCTGGGCTGTGGAGAGCGTTACTGGGAAGGCAACCGTGGGGCTCGTGGATGGCGTGGAGGGGAAGCCACTGGTGGGTAAGTTGGAGAAGGGAAAGGCAGAGATCATGAAGAGGAGGGAAGGGCTCAAGAAGCAGTGTTTGTACAGTAAGAAGGTTTTCAGGTATCTAGGCAAGGCTGCTGCGGTGATGACAGGAGGGGAGGAGCAGGAGAAGGATAATTTGGGAAGTAGGAACACCTGCCCCAGAGAGAAGGGAACCAGAAGCTCTCATTCACAGGACATGACACGGTTTAGAAAAGCAGCATTAAACTTTATATGTAGGGATCATATCCTGTGTTGCTGAAATACAGCCAGGCTGGATGGGCAGTCGCTTATGCCATTTTACTGTAAAATGCTGGCACAGTTGAGCAAGTTAGCTTTTTTGGTAAGAAATCTTTTACAATCTCATGTCATCACAACTTCATAGCTGTCAGTGCTTTCTTTCCACCGAACATTTTCCATCTGCAAAGAGACCAAATCAGTCCTTATCTAAACACCTGTCAGTCAGAGCTGAAACAGGTCAGCAGCAGATCAGCTGATCCAAAGCAGGCTGAATGTGTCCTTTCAACCAGAATAAACAGAGCAAAACTGCAAATAAACATCACTTGGCACTACTAAAAGGAAGCTCAGATTTAAGGGCTTTGATCATGCAGAAATTAAGTGGACCACCAACATTTTACTGACAAATATCCCCACTGGTCACATGGCTGGCAGAAAAACCTCCAGCTGCTGAGCTTTGTTCGCTTTTAAATCCTTTACCCTGAATATTGACCACAAGACAACAAGAAGGTAGATTGGTGACACAGAAGCATAGATCATTCCAAGCAGTAGGACAAACCCACTGTCAGATATTTACTATATTAACCATAATATAGTAAATATTATATATATTTCCAGATTTAGGTTTTCTTTTCCTCTAGTTTTGCAGTTGGTTTCAAAAGGAGATTTCATTTTCCAAAGATCAAAGAACCTTCTGTTGGAATGCAAAATAAAAACATGTTAAAGCTCAGAGTACCTCACTGAAAAGGAAGCATAATGTTCCTTCAGCTCCATAAAGGCTAAATAATATTAAGACCACTTGTGCCCTGAGTGTCTATGCTTCTGACAGGCATAAAGTAGAAGAAAACCAATGCTCACCTCTCTGATAGTCTCTCGTTGGAAACCAGCCCTAGCAATAGCTGAGTTGGTTGGTTCATTAGTTGTTTTCATAGTCCAAGAAGATCAGAAATTGCAGAGTGTGGTTTGGTTGTAAAGCAAGTCTGCTCTGGCTGCAGGGCCAGTGCCACCACACCCCACCGTGCCATGTCCCTGCCACCACTGCCAGCCCTGGGCACTGCTGGGAACAGGCTCACAGCCCGGGTAGTCAAATCCAGTCAGTAGCTAAGAACATTTCATAGGCAAAAAAAAAAAAAAATAGCTGGAGAAAGACATATTAGAAATACTCTTTTTGTGTGCATGTTCTTTTCTTTCTTGGCCCACACTTGTTGAAAGACTAAAATTTTCCAGCCCCATATTGGCTAATGTTAGGTTTTCTTGAAGGTTTGCCAGATGACAAATTAACATTCATCAAGAGGGTTTAAGGGGAGGTAGAGTGTAGTTAATGTATCCTTCTTACAATAGTTAATACTGCTTTTTTTTTTTCCATAAAGGATTTAAGTTATGCTTCAGGGACAGCTAATACGGAATTTAAATAACTTGGTCAAAGCCATTCTCCAAGTTAAAATATCTTGATTTGCAAGTTTGGCTTGGCAAATTTTTACAGAAATGCTTTTTCCAGAGATGCAAAAGAAAACACTAAGCTTTCCATCTTCAAAGAAATATTGTTATATGGGACACCATAGTCTTAGTATGGTGACGTTTATGGTATGGAAAAAAATTTGCCTTCTGTTTCCATTAGGAGTATGTTAAAGTGTTTACACTGTGCATAAACCTGGACCTACCAACTGGCAAAATTTAAAAAGGGTCATTGTTAGCCAACACGAGCATTTCTGGAAATCAGACTTGTGTTTGAAACCATAAGCCACAGATTTTGCTTGGTTACAACTGAAGGCAGAACTGGCCCTTCAACTTGGGAAGAACTCAAGCTTCATGTCAAACCAATAGCAATAAGTATATATTTGTTTGCCTTTAAATGTCTCTATTATCTTAGAAAGAAAAAAAAAAAAACTCATCAGAAGTAAATATAACTAGTAGTGAAAGCTGATCCTTAACTTGGACTAGTCTAGGAGCAAATCTATTCCCTTTGAGTTCCAAACTGAGGGAGACATCTCACCATCAATCTTCAGCACAAAAAACATTAACAACTTTTGGCAGTGACCAAGGCACAAGTTAAGCTGACTTGCTAAATCACATTTTTATTATTTGAATTCCAGCTAATGTTTTCCTTGGCTTCTCCCATTTCCAGTTCTGGATTAATCAGTTACTGTGTTCTTACATGGTCCGTGGTAGGCTTCTGCTCTCTTCCATGCCTATTTACTTAGGAGTCAGATAGGCCAAGGCCCAGGGCAGGAGTTATGGGGCATCAGAAACTGATCAAAACAGATTGTTTTTCATTTGTTTTTTCCCTGCTTTTAATTTAATTTGGGTATTTTCCCTTCCAGCTAAGAAAATAGCTCTGATCAGTTAGATATTGTCCAGTGCCTTTTCATGTGCTTTAGAAGTTTCCTTGGGATTCAATGCCAGTAGTGTAGGAAATTTATCAGGGTTATTTCTTATTTCCTGGGATTAAGTGACTGGGACTTCCAGAAAAGAATGAGGTAGCATTTAATGTCTTTGGCCAGGGACCAACATTGAAGGTTAACATTTCTATCATTTCAGTGTATGGAGTTGTATTTGAGGGCAGAGTTGGAAAGTTTCCTTAAAATTATTGCTCTAAACTACAAAACAGAGATTGTTGTGTGAATGTACGACGTTTATGTAAGAAAACAGTGCCTACAGTAACTGTTAAAATGGAATGAACTGTTAAAATTGGGAGTAACAGGCCAGGAAAGGAGGGATTTTCCCAATTACAAACCAGCCTGAAAGGGGAACAGATAAACTTTTCAAATGTTGAAAACATTGTGGTACTATGGGGCATGTTTAGAGATGCTGAATGATGCAGTTATGAAGTAGATAACAGGTTGAGTATCAGTAAATTAGTTTTCATAACAGAAAAAAAAATTAAATTGGAACTGTGGTAGCAGTTCTTTTCCCAAGAAGTTTCAAAATTAACTGGACAAAAAAACATCCTGTCAAGTTGAAGCCTCTGTTCCAAATGGAGTGACCATCACAAGTGCACACCTCCTGTCTCTCAAAGCACCTGCTCCACAATTCATCAGCTGCATCAGAAGGAATGTCAGTGGTCTGATAGGGATTGAATCAAGTTTCAAACTTCAGCATTCCCAAAACTTGGGATTATCTTCTCATGTCTGGAAGTAGGTTCAAACTGAGTGTGTACTAACTCATGCGTTTGTGCCTGTCCACCAAACAAGGGTGACGAGAGTCAGCTGCAATCTAGAAACTTTTCATCCCTACCACCAAGCTAAGAAATTTTGCTACAAGACAGGGTGTCATAATGAGAACATCTGGCTTAGTCAGAGCCAGTTTATGTTCATTTGCATCCAGGTTTTTTGATGTGTCTCGGGTGCTTGAGCAGATCTGGAAACAGATCCATAGGTTTGTACACAATAGCTGTTTGTACACAAAGCTGAGTGACACAATCAGAATGCAACAGAACCATTACACTTCACTTCTGGCTCTCTGGTTTAAGCTGAGTTGACATCAATATTTACTGAAGAATTCAGTAAACTCCATTTGGGCTTCCCAAGGGATTTTGTGAAGTGAGTTTTATCTTGAAGCAGTTCTAAACAGTGTTGTGCATATCAATAACCATCTGCCAGGGTCAAAAGAGAGACCAAGAGCAGAGCAGGCAGCAAAACAGGTCATCCTTTCCGTCAGGAGGGCTGAGGCCTGTTTGAATGGCAGCACAGAATGCATGCATGAATCCAGTAGCACTTTATCCATGGACACTTCAAGGCCATGTTGGGATCTCTGTGAACTGTTATAACATTTATGTCAGCCAGCATCTTTCCAGAGCAGTAAATCAACTCTGAAACTGAATACAAGTGCCTTGTTTTGCTTAGAGTTCCAAGAGAAATCTCCTACTCATATGAGTAAGAAAAGTTTTCATTAAATCTTCTTAATGGTTAAATCTTGCAACAGCCATGAACCAGCTCCATGTATTCTGGGATTCAGCACAACTTTGTTCCCATTCCACAAATATGCAACATTTTTAATTTACCAGTTTTACTCTCATCTTTTTGAAATTAAATGCTGGCTCTCCCATCTGAATCTCCATGAGCCACTAAGCCTAATGATGTCCATATACATGTGGGAAAACTGTTATTGTCCTTCCCTGCCTAGCTGGTCTGCCCAAGCTTTGCTGGAAGGTGGAGGGTGGGATGGCTGTTTGCTTCCCTCTGCAGAGGTGCTACTTGGCACTCTGTCCACACATCCACCCTGCAGACTGACCAGACACAGCTGAGAGCTGCCAAACACAGCAGGTCCAAGCACATCCAGTGGCTCAGGGTAGTTTTTAGCTGACTAATGCTTTGACTCTGGGCTATGTGAGGACTGTGGGCTCTGCCCTTGTATTCATTAGGAAAATAGCTGTGGTGGTTCGAGTTGCTTCTTCCCCAGCTGCCAAGTGTCATTTGGGAAAAGTGAGAAAGCCCAGTCTTCAGGAGCTTGCAGTACAAGCCCACCCTTCTTTGCTGCAAGGGATCATGGTGACAATATACAGCCCCACAGTTGCCTCTTTCATGGCTGGGCAAGACAGAAGGGCAAGATTTTCCAGCAGTCACCTACAGCCAAAATTATGCCTCCAGGCACAGGCAGCCAGGCTCTCTGAACCTCCCATTATGAACAGCACAGGCAACCCTTGTCCATGACTACTCCCTCGTGCTGTTAAACTAATGGAGACTTGCCTATGGGCAGGTCTCCTTCAAAACTGGAGACCAAACAGTTTCCAAGCTGACTCAAGAGACCAAAGGATGAAGAAGGACTAAAATGGTCAGAAATTTCCTGAGTTCTAAAAACACATCCTGCTACTTTTGTGGTTCCAAACTTCCAGACACACAGTGTGACAATAAAACAGCCTGTGAAAGCCACTGGTCCAGGATCTAAAAATTTCCAAGACATTATTGATTGCACTGCTCCTTTATACTTGCTACTTGGGAACAAACTCATGTTTCTGCTCACCTGAAGTTCCTTGCATTTGCAAGTGGATACACCTTAGCTGTGGGCTGTAGCCACAGAGCACTGGTTTTCCTGGCACACAGCACACTGATTTTGTGTTTGATAAGAAGTTTTTATCATTTAAAGACCAGCTTGCTAGAGCTGGTGGAAGAGAACATGTTAAACTCATGAACATGAATACTGAGTGCATCTGAGCATATCCAAGCGTAGCTGTAGTCATCTCACAAAGGTTTTCAAGACATGTCTTCACAGCATTACTATGGATATGTCATCTTTATGAGGTCAGAGAGCATTTCTTATTTATCTCCCTTTCATTTTGCTGTACACCTCCTCTGTGCCTTCTCACTTACTGAAATGGCTGCCAATAGTACAAAAGATTTGTCATCTTTTCTCATTTCTGCAAATCTCAATATGCCACTAATCATAGAATGGTTTGGCTTGGAAGGGACCTGAAAGATCATCTAGTTCCAACCCTCTTTCCACGTGCAGGGATATCTCCCACTGGACCAGGTTGTTCAAAGCCCCATCCAATCTGGCCTTGAACCAGAGATACCCCCCAGAGATAGGGCATCCACAGCTTCTCTGGGCAGCCTGTTCCAGTGCAGGTTCAGAATATTTCCCTTTCATGTATGGCTGTAAGAAAGCAAAAAGAAAAGGAATGGAAACTTTTTTCCTTTTGATTACTAGGTAGCAGGCCACATTCCTAAAAAGTACATACTGAGAGCAACAATTGGCCAAGTGGATTTGAGCTGCCTGTTCTAACCCCTGATTTCTGTTCACTCTGAAGACTGTGGCTGCTTAAAATTATGGCACCAGCTGTGGGTTTCATGTGGTCCATCTCCTGTGTATGTTGGACCCAGCTCCCCTGCACCAGAGGAATTTTCTCTAGAGCTGTTATGCCCAAATATTGGCACAGTAGCTGTTGATGAAGTCAGCAAGAACTAGACTGAGTTATAGCAGTTCTTTATAATGCATTATAATATTTGGTTTATACTGATGAATTGTAATGTGCTGGTTTGGGTGAGTATCTCCCCCTTTCTTTATACATTTCCTTCTCTTTTTTGGCATGCCGACAATTTGCAAATGTTCAAAGACTTTGTGACTGGTTTGGATTGTTCGAATCCTAAAACTTACCTTTGACTTTTTTATATTCACCTGCAAACGGGAAAGGGTTGCAAGTTCTCTTTGAACTGGGAGAAAAAATTGAGGTTCCAGAAGGTGTTTCATGGAATAAGGCAATTAATGACTATATGTTCTGCCAATATCTTAAAGAGAAAGAGTGCAGGAGTTGTTGTTCATCCCTGATTCTCTCCACCTGCAGCATGGAAGGGTCCATCGTGCGCCTGCCAGAGATAGTCTCCTTGAAGAACAAATACAAAGCCTACCTCTACTTGGACGAAGCTCACAGCATCGGTGCAGTGGGAGCAACGGGCCGAGGAGTCGTGGAGTACTTCGGGATGAGCCCTGATGATGTTGATGTATTAATGGGAACGTTCACAAAGAGCTTTGGTGCAGCTGGAGGATATATAGCTGGCAAAAAGGTAAAAGGAAAGCATAAACAATTTAACATCAAGGGGATGGGAAATACCTTCTTTCTAGGTATGATACATTTCAGTATCTTTTCACGCAGACTGCTTTACATGAGCACTGCTCTAGAGTTTAGTACCACTTTTGCCTGGATCCCAAACGCACATCAAGCAGTCAGACTCTTCTTTTTGTCTCATGTTCACATTATGTAATTTGCTTGAGCTGGGTATTTTTTGTGCCACCCTAATGATTGTTGTTTGTCTTGGAAATATTTGGACACGTTGTGGTTGGCTAAATATACTTCCCTACATTAATTTGCATGCGGATTGCTCATTACTTTGTTTCGCATTTGTAAACAATGTGTGGGGCAATATTGAGAGATTAAAACCACAGTTTCATCCACTGATAATAAAATTCCTAAACAGTTGACATAGTTGCATTTTTTAGAAGAATGGACAAAGAGGATTACTGAGGGCCTTTTGCAATAGTAAATTGTGTGTCCTCAGTTGCTCCGCGTACATTAACAAAACAATCTCTTGCCAACAACAGATGTCAACAAAAGTAAAGCTGAGTTTGCTTTAACTGGGGGTGTAGAAGAGAAAGCATAATCAGCACCATTGTGAAATGTCATCGGTTTTGTTGCTTGACAGAGAGATCAAGTGGCTGCTGATTATTTGCCCTTTTCAGACCCTGCTGAATGTATTTTTTAAGGAGTCTGCTAAATGAGTGGGAAGCCTGTTTACACAGCCCATATGGTTGTTGTCAGGATAACATTAATAAGTGTAGCCCTACAGTAGAATAAAAGTGCTATAAGAAAGTATAAATTGTATATTTCTTACTGTCTTTTTTGGATTTGCCCCTGGAGATCTTAAAAGCGGGTGTCATAATACATCAAGAGTCAATTTGCTCTGTTTCTTCGGCTTCCTGAATTTATATCTGAAGGCTTAACTCTCACCAAAGACAATGTAGCTGATGTAACTAAAAAGTATAGAAAGACTAGACCTGTGAAAAGTAGTCTGAAGTAATTCATGCTCTAATCCTTGGAAGTTACTTTAAATGAAAACAGGTCATTCTTTTCACGCCTGTGTGTGTCAGTAAGCTTTGCCTCAGGCTTCTGAACCTCAGAAGCCTGCTCACCCATTCACCCACTTACATTCATTTCTGCAGCCAAAAACTCAGGGTGGCACTGTTTATTCTGCATCAGCTGGAGCACAGAAGCCTTCTCAGCTATTTACCCAAACCCTTAGGAGTACAGTTGCAATATAGCCATGCATAGCCTGTGTAAGGTTAGGTAAGTCTTTATCCCTACCGTTGGAGCTACTGCATAAACTCATACAGCTCTTTTGGCAGTAACTTGTCTAATCCGCTTTGGGTTGGGTTTTTTCTGATTTTTTTTTTTACCATAGTCCAATTTTCAAGCGTCATCCCTTTCTCAGTAACATGAATTCAGCTTTTAGCATGGTAACCGCTACTCTGATATTATGCACTAGGAGGTATAAGCTGTTGCAACAATGATGATCTTAATAAGATCTGATTTCCTACCAGATCCCTGGATTCAGGAGAGTTACGGGTGCTTTAGATATGCCTACAGTACATCAGTGCTTTTTCTAGGAGCACAGATTGTGCTCTTAGTTGTACAAGGAAATGTTAAAGCAACTATACCAACTCTAACATAACTATCCCTGCCACACTGATGGAAAGTTTCATTTGAAAATTTTTGTGCTAATAGACAAAGATAGACCCCAGTAAGGTGCTTTTCCTGAATTAGGTCATGAGGCAGAGAAACTAGTCTGAAGTCATGTAGGCTTTGCTTCATTCTCAGAGAGGAACTGAGCAGCATTATTTTAAGTGCAGCTGTTCATTGGTCTTGAAATTATTTTGGCTGCTTTGTAATAAGTCTTAGCACAGAAGTAAACAGACTTCTGTTGCAGCTATAACTGCCCCACTTACATGGTAAAGTACTTGCACCTGCCTGATGTTTCTTCAGGCCATGTATTAACAGTGGCAGCCAAGAAAGCAAACCAATAGCTGGTGAAATATAGCTCTTCCTTTTGCATATTCCCACTCCTGCAGTAGTTAAGAGGGAGACCTGCTGTTTGGCCAGCTCCAAGCTCATTCATGCTTTGTTTTGCTTGTGTAAGGGCCTTGTGGACTTTTTACGAACTCATTCTCACAGTGCTGTGTACGCCACATCCATGTGTCCACCCGTAGCAGAGCAAATCATCAGGGCAATGAAATGTCTCATGGGACTAGATGGGACAACACAAGGTAAGCCACCTACTTTCACTTCATTTACTCCAGTTACTTCCAAAGCACCTCCTGGGTGCGAGCACGTGCAATGTGTCATCCAGCAGCAAAGTAGTATGGTAATGCAATGCAAAGGAAATCATTCTTACTGCAAAATTAATATCTAAATCACCATACTTTTAAGTGCTATCAACTCTATTTCTTTTTCCATGCTCATCCACGTGCAGCAGGGATGGAAATATTTTGGAATTCTGGATCAATAGTTGCCAGCCCGTCCCGTTTTGCAGCAAGGAATAGAAATACATGAATTTCCCTTTGCGTATATTATCTGACTTTGTGGGAGGGTTCATAAGGACATGCCTTCACTTCTGGGCTAGGTGCTGTCAGTTTAGCTTCTTTGTACGTCTGGACCTTCAAAATGGCAAGCAACACAAGCATGGTGCAGCATTTCAGAACAGGTATTGTATGTTAAATGACAGTATGAGGAGATGATTATAATAATTCCTACCTCACTCAGATATCAATTGTGGTGTCCAGAAGCTAGTTCTGAAGTACATTTTGTCCCTGAAGAATTGGTTGCTTGGTGTCTTTATGAAAAACCAGGTTTATTTCTATTCCTCTCCTGAAGTTGTAGATGCAGCTACTGTCCAATCCTCTGTGTAACCTGCTTTCTATACAGCAAGCAACAGAACAACTATGTGACATAGCTATCTGCCACTGTTTCAAAGTGATGCTGATATGGATTTGGTATTCTAGGACTTAAACCCCAACACGGAGAAAAACTGATGGTTTTTGAATTTGTATGGTTTTTTCAGGAATTCCTTAGAGTCAAATTATTGTGTAACATGCAGCTAAAGACACAGATTCTGCTCTGAATTGCAATCTCTCTTATACTGGTCCAGCAGCACCGTGCTGTGCTATTTTCTCTTTGTCTGATGCTAACAGAATTAATTCTGTATTGGTCCTCCCTGATAGATTTGACTGGGGTAAGGAGGGAATGGGGAAGAAAAGGGTAGATAAGAGCAGGTGAGATACTGCTTTACACTATTCTGTTGCACAGCACTTCAATGAGGCCAGAATTTACAATACCCCAGAGTACAGAAGGAGGGATAGGGAATCCAGTGCCAGTGCCAAATTCTGCTGAGTGCAACGGCAAAACTACAGCGCGATGTGCAGATGATGAGCAAGCCATGCTTTTGTTGTTTTGGCAGAGAAGTCAAGAGTGGAACAGCTGCTTCCAACTTGAAATTTGAAAGGTCAGGCTTGCATATGCTGATGCCTACATCCTGTTCAATATAAGAGACCAGCTCTGACATCTTTCTTCCACCTCGGGGCTGCTCTCTGCCCTGGCGCTTGCCGTGAGAGGGCGGTCTGACACCGAGCCTTCCCAAGACTTCCAGACTTCAGGCACTCGGAGATGCTGCTGTGTGTAAAACATGAAACATGCAGAGCATTTCCAGGCCTTCAAAGTCTGTTACAAATGCTCTTCAACTAGCGTGATTCTGCATGCAGTTCAGTGCAGGATAATAGGACAACTTGGTTCAAGACAGAGTCTTTTAAGATGTGCATGTCTGTCTTAGGGCTGAGAGTTTGAAACATTCTCTCTTCCAGAAGCAGAGTTGTTTAGTGACACAATGTTTGTCTTTCTGCACAAAATAAGAGCTTAATAAGTCTTCTGCATGTCCTTTATGAAATAAATTAGTGCTTTGTCAGTTTTTTAAAAAGTGTCTTGTAATATGAAATGCAAATGAGTAGAAAAACAAATGAATAAATCATATATCACAACTTTAGAGCATTGCACAAAGGCTAGCAAACTGGCTATGATGTGTAAAAATGTGTCTTGTCCTTCTGAGCCAGACCCATTATTTTAGTCCATTGGGTTTTCTTTCATGTGGGCCTCCCTTCATTAGGCTGTCTTGTGGACTACAAAAAAACCCCACAACCCAAAACACAGGAAAAAATGCTGTGCTGGACCACATTACAATGCTACTTTGGCACCAGAGAGAGGAAGGTGGTGGCTTAGAAAGGAGGGGAGAACAGAAGGGAGAAAGCACTGTCTCTTCTTAAATATTTTTTATGCCAAGGACAACAGTGACCTTGGCAGAGTTCTTTTAGTCTGCTGACATAGAAAATGGTGAATCCTGCACATAAGTCATTGTTGTGAGGGAGTGAGCTTTGTAGCAGAGACACCTGACAGAAAAGTTTCAAGTGGTACGCAGGGTGCGACAGACCATTTGTTCTCTGGAAGCCTGTTGAATTCATAGAAAGAGTTTATTTTACAATTTATCTCTATTTACATTCTCTTCCCACAGAATGATTTAGGGAATACTTTATAAGGAGATGCCATCCACTGATGGCTTGTCCTCCAGAGGTCATTTCTGTAGGGGAGGGGACCTTGAAAAAACTACTGGAAAAGCTTTGCAAAAGAGTGAAATTAGAATTTGCTAAAAAGTTCCATGTGAGCTAGAGGGTGCTTTTTGAAAAGAGGATGAAATAAGGGGATGACAAACATTGTAACACATAAGCATGTTCTTATATCTGAACTTCATGACTGACTCCTCAGCAGATAATTAGAAAACTAAGAGAAGGAAGACTGTTTGGTGATTTAAATTGCTGCTCCGAAAAATCTTTATTTTTTAGTCCTTCACACAGTATTTTATATTTTTCCAGATATGAGGCTCTTACATTCCCTTCATTTTCTTACTAGTTATTCTCCACTAATTTGTTGAGCAAGCAGGTGATCTAGAAGAGAGTAGAATAGGCGGAATTATATAGTAGGTAATGCCAGAGGCCAGAAGTGCAGTAATACTGCTTGTGTTTATCCTGGTGTATATTCAGTTGATTGATCTTCCATATTTTCTTCCTTTATTTTCAGTTACTAAAATATGGTTATTCATTTGGAAGAGGAATGGTGATGTGCATTTCTAGGATAAGATCAATATACTGGATGCCTGACTGCAAGATACAAACAGATGTTTATAGACACAAGGGGTACATCTTCATTGCAGGGAAAGAACAGGTTAACACTTTAAAAGTAATTCTGTGAAACTTATACTGTTCAACTGGAAATTATCCACAGCAGATGCCTGTGTCAGGCTACAGTGCACAAATATGTGGGGATGTCCCATATCAGTATTTGTGTTAGTTGTGAGATATTAATGTCACAGCAGTGTAACTGGGAGGATACTGCAGAGCCCACAGCTAGCTTTTATAGTTTCCTTCTTTTGTCATGTTTTCTGTGATGAATTGAGAAACTGAGGAACAAGAAATGCTGAATAAGAAGAAGGTACTAGCTCCCTCAAAACTGATATACCCTGTTGATCCTGCCTGGGAAAGAGGAATAGGTTGAGGTTACTATGACCAAATGCTTTGTTTCTTGAGTGACTTATATCAAAAGAGTCAGAAGTTGACTACAAAAAAAAGCAAATGTATTTCCATTTTCATGTGAAATCAGATTTTTAGTAGAGTACAAGTTCTGGTGTTATCCAGTGCCATGCTTTACAGGACTGAAAATCGATGGCTTGTAGAACAAGACGCATTTGTTCTTAGTAACATAATGTCATAGATACCATTATAGTTCCTATAATAGAGTTGTTCTAAAGTGTATGAACTCCTGGCAGCTGTATTTCCATTAGGAATGTCATAAGGCAAGAAGCTCCACAGTTCAGTTCATATAGTCTATTTAAAAAAAAAAAAATTCATTTTATTCCTCTTAAGCCTTAGTGGCCTTTTCATCTCAAATGTGTCTCTGCTCATTTATTAGGAAATAGGGGGAGCAGAAGTTCCCATGGCATTTACTCTTTAAAATTCATAATATAGATATTCTTTATGTGTTCTCCTCATGGCTTCTCATTACACCACTGGAGATACCTCAGGAAATTCAGCAGCTGCCTTAGTGGTTTTATCCCCGTGATGAGACTGCAGTTGACTCAAGAGTGTTTGGACTCTGCACAAATTTTGAAGTACACTTGCTTGCATGCAACACAGCCCCTCCAGCTGTGACCTCAGACCTCTTTTTTTCCCCCTTTCTGCATGAGAATACCAAAAACATATTTTTACATTTAAATTTGATAGTTAAAAAGTAGAACCACTAGGCAGACAGAGTTAAAACTGTTAGAAAATCCAAAGCAATTTTCTTGATGACTAATAATAGATGATAGTGGTGTAAAAAGCAAATTGCAGCATTTGCAAAGGCATCATTTTTCTGTTTAAAGCATGGCAAACAATAATTCACCAACAACAGTGGGCATTTTTCATATGTTTTTATGGGATGCTGAAAAATGTGAAACCCTGTCCTCTGGAATCTACTGTTAAAAGATTTGTTGTGTTAAAAGATAATTCATGAGATAGTTTAGATTTAAAGTGTTTCTTTAAAGTGTTAATTTACTTTGCCATTTGTGCTGATTGGTTTATCTTTTTGCAACGACTAGTTTTCATTTTTGTTTTAACAAACTCTGCGTTCTTGCATTTGAGCTCGTTAAAATTGTGAGAAGTGGCAGAACACTGCTTTCTGTTTCAGCTTGGCATTAAAAAAAATTGTTTTTAAAAGTTCCTTTTTAAAACATTTCTGTCTGCCTTAGATTTTTTTGCAATTTCCAGCATTTTCCTCTGCTATATGTGCTCAACAGTCTTTTGAAAAAAATTAGCTTTGCTTTGTCAGGGTGCTTTGTAAATGCAGAAACCTTGGTTCCACATCTCTACAATCTGGCATAAAGCAGCCCTGATGCAAGGAAGAGCAGTCTTGTCCTCTGTTTTTTTCTCCCTCTGCCTATCCCCCTTACTCCTGCCCCTTCTCCCTCCGCCAGCATTAGTGTTCATACAGCCATGAATCAGAGAACTGATCTAGCTGAAAAATAACCAACCCTCCCACAAATGGTTTGCCTACAGCCCAGCTGGTTCCCTGAGCCAATCTGCCATATGGCTACATGAATCCCAGTGCCAGGACTTCAGCAGCTGGAGCCGAGAGGAGCGATCCCTTTTGCAGCAAAATAAATCTGTGCCAGACTGGACTGATCATGAAA